GTTCGCTTTGGGAATAAATCTTCAAAGATACATTGGAGGTCGCTGGAAACATATGGTAAAACATTTAAAATGATTAACAGATATTCTTAAATGTACAGTAGTTCCACTGCATGGGACACATCGCCAGATCCCCAGTGGATGCCTGAAATTGCCTTACAGTACCTCATCAAGGAAAAGAAAGAGAGGAAATAAGGAAAATCAGAAGTGAAAGAGAAGTAACAACTAACAAGAAAATCAAGATTGTAAGAAAATATTATAAACAGCTATACGCCAATAAATTGAAAAATCTGGATGAAATGGATAAATTCCTAGAAACATACAATCTTCCAAAACTGAATCAAGAAGAAGCAGAAGCCCGGTCGTGGTGACTCAGGGGTTGAGCAGCAACCCATAAACCAGGAGGTCATGCTTCGATTCCCGGTCAGGGCACATGCCCAGGTTGCAGGCTCAATCCCCAGTGTGGGGTATGCAGGAGGCAGACAATGATTCTCTCTCATCATCGATGTTTCTATCCCTCTCTTCCTCTCTGAAATCAATAAAAATATATTTTAAGAAAAGAAGAAACAGAAAATCTGAACAGACTGATTACAAATAATGAAATCAAAGCAGTAATAAAAAAACTTCCCACAAACGAAGTCCTTCACTGGATGGCTTTACAGGTGAATTTTACCAAACATTCAAAGAAAAACGAACACCTATCCTTCTCAAACTATTCAAAAAAATTCAAGAGGAGGGAAGATTCCCAACCTCATTTTACGAGGCCAGCATTACCCTAATTCCAAAACCAGATGAAGACTCTACAATGAATGAAAATTATAGGCCAATATCCCTGATGAACATAGATGCTAAAATTCTCAACAAAATATTAGCAAATTGGATCCAGCAATAAACTAAAAATATCATACACCAGGACCAAGTGGGATTTATTGGGGGAATGCAAAGTTGGTACTTGCATCCATATTTGTAAATAAATAAATGTGATACATCACATAAACAAACTGAAGAATAAAAACCACATGATTATATCAATAGATGCAGAAAAAGCATTTGATAAAATCCAGTATACATTTATAAAAAACAAAAAAAACTCTTAGCAAAGTGGGAATAGATGGATCATACCTCAACATGATAAAGGCCATATATACAAACCAACAGCCAAAATCAGATTTAATGGGCAAAAACTAAAAGCTTTTCCCTTAAGATCATGAACAAGACAGGGATCTCCTCTTATTCAACAGAGCACTGGAAGTCCTAGCCACAGCGATCAGACAAGAAGAAGAAATAAAAGGCATCCAAGTTGGAAAGGAGGAAATAAAACTGTCACTATCTGTAGATGACACACAAGAAACTATATAGGGAACCCTAAAGGCTCTACCAAAAACTACTAGAACTGACACATGAATTCAGTAAAGTAGTAGAATACAAAATTTATATTCAGAAATCAGTTGCCTTTTATTACACCAACTAGGGGCCCAGTGCATGAATTTGTGTGCCTTGAAAGGAACTGTGGGTCACGAGGCTGCGGTGGGCACAGGGTCTCAGCCCATCCTCTGTGTCCCAACCCAGCCCCTCCTGCCAAGGCCCCCAGTCCCATCTGCTGGCAGCCCCGCTCCTGCTGCTACCACTCCCACGGCGTGGCCCCACTCACACCCACTGGCTATTGGGGCTGGCGCACCAGCAGTGGGTGCGAGCAGGGCCGGTGCCATTAGCGGTTGTGAGCAGTGGCTGCTGCCTTGATTGCCCTTCAGGAGCAGGGGGAGGTGGAGAAGCCCTGAAGGGCGATTGGGGCCAGCAGCCACTGCTTGCACCCAGTTACAGCGCTGAGTGACTGGGACCAGTGCCAGACGCCAGCAGCAGGTGTGAGTAGAGGCTCTGGCATAAGCAGCAGGTATGAGTGGGGCCATGGCCAGCAGCGGGTGCAAGAGGCAGCTGCCAGCCAGATCAGCCCTCAGGAGCAGGGGGAGGTGGAGAAGCCCTGAGGGGCGACTGGGGCTGGCAGCTGCTGCTCACACCCTCTGACAGGGCGGAGCGATCGGGGCGGACACTGGGCACCAGCAGCGGGTGCAAGCAGGGCTGGCACCAGCTGCAGGTGCGAGCACCTGGTGGGACCCCGGCGCACAAGAACGAAGAATTTTCAGTAATCACCAGAGGCTCTCCCCGATGACAGTGACCGGCACCCCATCTTGGTCTGGCGCCCCGCTCACCTGCTCCACCATCCTGCCACGGCCGATGCCCGCCATGTTCTGCGCACACCTCCTGGTGGTCAGCGCATGCCATAGCGACTGGTTGTTCAGCTGTTCCGCCGTTTGGTTTATTTGCATATTAGGGTTTTATATATACAGGTAATAAACTATCAGAAAGGGAAACTAAGAAAACATTGCATTTACCATTGCATTAAAAAAATACATGGGAATAAGTTACTGGCATAAAAAATAAGCATATAGATAAATGGAACAGAATAGAGAGCCCACAGCTATGGTCAATTAATACTTGACAAAGGAGGCAAGAGCATACCATAGGGTAAAGACAGTCTCTTCAATAAATGGTGTTGGGAAAACTGGACAGACACATGCAAAAAAATTAAACTAAACCACCTTTATACACCATACACAAGAATAAACTCAAAATGCGTTAAAGACTTAAATGTAAGATTAGAAATCATAAAAATCCTAGAAGAAAACACACACAGTAAAATCTTGGACATTTCTCATAGCAATATATTTTCTGATATATCTCCTCGGGTAAGGGAAACAAAAGAAAAAATATAGAAATGGTACTGCATAAAACTGAGAAGTTTTTGCAACCCAGCCAGTGTGGCTCAGTGGTTGAGCGTCGACCCATGAACTAGGACAGGTTCAATTCCAGGTCAGGGCACATGCCGGAGCTGCAGGCTCGATTCCCAGTACGGGGCCAGCAGGGGGAGCCGATGGATGATTCTCTCTCATCACTGATGTTTGTAACTTTTTCTCCCTCTCACTGAAATCAATAAAAACTTTTTTTTTTTTTAAAGTAGAGTGACATTTAAAAAAATAAAGTTTTTGCACAGTGAAGGAAACCAGCAACAAAATGAAGACAACCACTGAATGAGATAGCACATTTGTCAATAATAAATCTGATGAAAGGTTAATATCCAAAATTTATAAAGTACTTATATAATTCAACACCAAAAAAAACCTCAAACAATCCAATTAAAAAATCAGCCCAGGACACGAGTAGACACTTCTCCAAAGAGGACACACATACAGATAGCAAGAGACATGAAAAGATGCTCAACATCATTAATCATCAGAGAGATGAAAATTAAAACCACAATGAGTTATCACCTCACACCTGTCAGAATGGCTATCATCAATTAATCAACAAGTGCTGGCAAGGACGTGGGGAAAAGAGAACCCTCGTGCACTGCTGGTGGGATGCAGACTGGTGCAGCCACTGTGGGAAACAGTATGGAGTTTCCTCAAAAAATTAAAAATGGAACTGCCTGATGACCCAGTGATTCAGTATTGGTAATATATCCAAAGAAACCTGAAACACTAATGAAAGAACATACGCACCCCTATTCATCACAGTGTTACTGACAATAGCCAAGCCCTGGAAGCAGCCCACGTACCATCGGTGGTAAGTGTATAAAGAAGTGTGGTACCTCTACACCAGGGAATACTACTCGGTCTTCAGAAAGAAGGAACTCTTACCACCTTTGGCAACGGCATGCGGGGGCCTGGAGAGGATCAGGCTAAGTGAAGTAAGTCAGTCAGAGACACACAAGTACCATATGATCTCACTTGTATGGGAACCTAATGAACAAAATAAACAAACAGAACAGGAAGAGACTCATAGAGAACAGACTGACCGCTGTCAATGGGGAGGGGAGCTGGGGGCTGGGTGAATAAAGACGAAGGGATTAAACAAACAAAAAGACACCTCACAGACACAGACAACAGGAAAGTGATTACCAGAGGGAGGGGCGCAGGGGGAGGCACAAGAAAGTAAAGGGGCATGAGTGCTGACAGAAGGAGACTTGACTTTGGGTCAAGATACTATACTATAGGATTGTTTGAAACCTATCATTTTATTAACCAATGTTATTCCAATAAATTCAATAAAAATTTAAAAATAGCCCAACTGGCATGGCTCAGTGGTTGAGCATCAATCTATGAACCAGGAGGTCATAGTTCGATCCCCAGTAGAGGGCGTGCAGGAGGCAGCCGATCAATGTTTCTCTCTCATCATTGATGTTTCTATCTCTCTCTCCCTCTTCTGGCCTCTCTGAAATCAACAAAAACATATTTTTTAAAAAATTAAAATAAGTAAATAAAATTTATGGGTTGTTATTTCTGGGATTTTTCCATCTAATGTTTTTGGGCCACAGATGACTGCAGGTAACTGAAAACAGAAAGTGGAAATGTGGATGAAAAGGACTACTGTCAAGCTATATAATCAGCAACTTTTTCCTGCCAGCTTATAGGAAATTAACCTTAAATCTGTTTGATTCTTTTCAGCCTCCCAAGGAACCACAAAAATTAGGACTTAACCGACAGCCAAGGGCAAGCTTGCTGGTACTTGTCCACCAGATAAAGATCAATACCCGAGTGTCATTTTCCTTGGTAACAATTTAAAATCAGAGTCTCAACACTACAAGGGACTTTCCCACCCCAAAACCAGCAGGGCATCCCTGCCGGCGGCCACTGAGGGATGGGGCAGGGAGTTGGGAGTTGCAAGATGACACTGGTAAGAGAGAAGAGGCGGAGCGCTTCCAGCACACACCTGTGCAGCCCTGGGCGGCACCTCACAGCCAAGGTAACCAGCAACCCAAGCCTGGGTCCTGCCACTCGGTAGAAATTCTGGAGAGGAATACAGCCCCGCAGGCGGCTCTGGGCTTTGGGATGACAGCGGGGCACACAGCACTGGCGCTGACCTGCGCGCACGAGTGGAGCCAGGTGCAGAGCGGTGCCAGGAAGAGAAGCGCTGGCCCCAGCAAGCGGCCTGGCGGCTGGTCCTACCTGGGCTGGCTTCTGGCCGCACGGAGCTCAGAGGAAGTGGGGGCGAAGATTCGGGGGCCTCTGCAGCGGGGTGTTCAGCCACCGGACAGATGATAAACCACCTCTTCCCAGTGTGCAGGACTAAAGGGCAGGACAAAAGCAGCTGGTGAGAGCAGGCATGTTTCTCCTGGGGACCCTTGCCCCTGGGCCACACTTGCCATGAGACGTTCTGGGGAACTCTCACACCACTGAGGGTCATGCAGCCACTCACGGCTCCTCCGCGGCAGCCCGGGGTCCCAACAAGCACTCCCACCGGCTTGGTTCCCAGGACGCCCAAGGGACCATCCCTGAAGGGGCAATGCCAGCCGAGGCCAGCAGACAGCGGGAATCTATGCCACCCTGACAACACCTGGGCCCGACAGGGAGGAGCTGGGGGCAAGGTCACCACACAGTCCAACACCCCCCGTGTGATGGCCAAGCTCCCGCACATGCTCAGTGGGGCTGTCATCACCTGCCGCTGGAGAAAGAAAGGACAGTGACAGGCGTCCGGGGGTCCCAGAGGCACATACCGTTCTGCTGATACACTGGGGCGTTGGCTTGGGACTGGCGCTTCTCCTAGGGGAGTGAAGGCGGCCATCAGGAAACCGCGGACTGAGCACACGGAGCCCGGGCCTCACAGCCCTGCGGCCTCGGAGCCGGGCACTTCCACTCGTGCTAACGGCGCGCTCTAGGCGGGCACCTCGCCCCACGCTGCACCCTGCAGGCTCTCCCGGCAGGAAGGTGGGTGGCTGCTGCCCGCAGGCCTGGAGTGGGGGACTCAGGCCCTGCCCTCCCAGGACAGCGCCCAGCTCACCTCTCCGGCACCCAGGCTGCTGGTGCTGAGGGGTGGTGGGCTTGCCCCCGGGTCGGAGCCACGGTCCACGTCCGTGTCCTCACTGAGCATGTCCTCTGCCTTGTCCATGACATCCTTCATCTGCTCAATGAACGTTTCCCGCTCGGCCTGCAGGATGAAGTCGTGCTCCACCTGCAACGGTACACACAGCCCTACCCGTGGGGACTCACGGGGCACACGCAGCCCTGCCCGTGGGGACTCACGGGGCACATGCAGCCCTGCCCGTGGCGATGCAGAGCAGGCCTGCAGATCTCCACCAAGTGACCCGCTTGGCCTCTGCTCTGCACTAAACACCAACCCCCCACCCGTGGGCAGAGGCAGCGGTGGCCTGGTCCCAGCCCAGGGCTG